ATTTCTCTAACCATTTGAAACACTTGTTTTTACTTGGTGATCTAAAGAATGCCGCACATTTTTCACTCGATTTGGAGATGAAACGGCTAAGTCCCGCTATCTGGCCAATCAATTTCTGAACCTCTTTCGCATTTTATGGGGATGTCATGTCCATTAAAGCTTTTAGTTCTAGATTTGCCTTTTTATACCTTCAGGTTTTAAAAGGAAATCGATGAATTTTCCGGTCGAGACCCTAAAAGTGCAATTTAGGGTCTGTTTAGGGCAGCTTATTTGGTGCGGTGTCGTTTTGGAAATACACCTGGCCTGTTAGGGTAAATTGCGTTTTGACAGCTTATGCAATTTCAAAAAGCTGAAAACTGCGTTTTCACACCGCACCTATCTAGGTGCGGTGGCAGTTTTCTGGTCGCGGTCTGGATTTTCTAAAAAAAATAAAAATTTGTAATAGTCACTGCACTTAGCTTATCGGCAGATTATTTTTAATAAGTTTATCAGCATTTATTCAATAAGCTGCAGCCGCCCCAAACAAACCCTTAGTGGTTTTAATCTCATATTATATTTTCTAACGGCTAAAAACCTTTCGTTTAAATAGTTAATGTGTTGTTCTGCCGACTGACCCTTAACTAACACATTATCATCATAAGTTTCAACATTTTTCCTTCATGATTAGAAAATATTATATCTGAGTGATTGATATGTAGTCTCAGCGTTCTTAAATTAAAATGCATTACATTAAAACAAAAAACATCTTCACAAATAATAAAAGTAATTTCGGTGAAGGGTAGTTGTCCTTCGGGCAGGCATTGTCGAGGCTCATGAAATCCACACACATCTTCCATTTGTCTTTTAACTTTTGCACCATCACCAAATTGGAGACCCAAGTTAGAAATTTGACATCTCTAATATAACCTGCTTTCTTCATCTTCCTCACTTCTTGGCGAACAACTCAGCCTATGTTCTTGCAGACAATCAGATTTTCTGTTGCACCGATCGGGTTGATGGATTAATATTAAGGCGATGGCACGCCACGTCGGCAGGTATTTCGGGTATTTTCGTTGCAGTCCAAGTGAAGAAATCTCGATGCTCGCAAAGAGTTTAGATCACCATGTTCCGGTACCTACATCGACCCGATCACTTATTTGAAAAAATTTACTGGGTTCCTTAATTGATGTCGGTATTTCAAGAATGGTCTTATTGGTCTCGAGACCCCCTTCCCTTCGGATTTGTATATCAAGCGAATCATGCTCCATATTGGTGAATGCTCGTAGATAACTCCAGATTTTCCCGAACCATGATGACTTCTCCACCAGCCGGAAATTTAACAACTATGTGATAAGTCAAGGCCACTGTCCGATAGCTATTTAGCAACGGTTGGCCAAAAGTTGCATTGTACGTCGGTAGTGATTCGACCACTAAGAAGTCCTCGGTACAGTTGAACTGCTTTTCCCGCTCACCCAAGAGATGCACAAAGTTGTAACTCCTAGGGCTTCCTTTCGCCCGTTAAAGAAGCAGAATAACTGGTCGGCCGGTGTAGACAACCAGTCGGACTTTAATCGATCCTATTAAATATTATTTTGAAGAGTTTATTAACAGAACTTCCGGTATCATCAAGAATACTACCAACCTGGAGATATTAATGAGCTTAGTGACAACAATAGCGTCGTTATGCAGATTTTTCTTGGTAGCAAATCCGCGTCATAAAATATGACGGGCGGATCATTCCGTTTTTGGATAGAGTCAAAGGTGAATAACTTCCCCAATCAAAGCCTTTTCTGATTTGCCCGGAGGAATAATTCTCCCCCTTCAAAGATAGTTGGGATGATTCAAACAATGTGTATTAAGTTTGCTCGGACGGGCTCGTCTGACTCCTCCATTGGCGTCTTTACCCTTTCCCTATCGTTGAGTGTTCACTCCAACCATAACAAACACCTTCAACTTTCTGGCGCGGATCAAGTCCTCCACTAAATTTCTTAGATGTCGGCATTCTTCAGTATCATGGTTGAGGTCCCGATGGTACTGGAAGTATTTAATGAGGTTCCGGAGGGAAGCTCCGGTCCTAATCGGTGTTGGCTTCTTAAGATACTTCTTATTTTGGATGGCCTCTACCAATTCGGCCATCGATACCCAGAGTGGGGTCATTCCTTACATTTCACGATACACATGCAGTCGCTCATAATACCAAGCCTAGCCCAGGTGATCAGTATTCCCTCTCTGTTCGTCTCTGTGATTCCGGCCATCCTTATATTTTGCACGACTGGAAGGTTGTTAGTTGCTCTTCACCTTACAACTTTCGCCCTCGGCTGCCCTTTCCTACGATCGCCTATCAGATGTCTCTATTTTTGTTCGAAGGGACCATTGACATACTCCTCGTCAGCAATATAATTGTTGGTCATCTCCAGCAATTCAGTCAACGTTTTGGGCTCACACAAACCCAAATAGAATATGAGTCAGGGCAGTTTGTGTGATGAGTGGGCATAAGTTCTGGACTTCCAACATTTCTTTCTAGAAATGGGTGATGTAAGAACAAAGGCTTTCACTCTCACCTTGCTGAGCTGTAACAGGGCCTGAGATTTCTTCTTCGATTTTTGAACGCTGGCAAAGTGAGCCACGAACAATTTCTTGAATTCAGCAGAAGAGGATATGGTCCCTGGTGGTAGGTTATTGCACCTGAGGGTCGTCTCCTTCTGGATGATTAGAAACACATGACATTTATGGCGTCATTGATCCACAACATTCTAATCGTTGATTTAAACGTAGCCACAAGATCGGCTCTTTCCTTTATAAGGTCCCAATGTAAAGGTTGGAATTTTGCTAGTGGTTCGGCTTCCAAAATCTGCCAAGAGAACGAATTTTCTAGTGTCAGAGGTGCCTAATCTTGCGCAGGCCGGTTACTCTCCACTAATATAGACCCAGCATCTTTATACTAAGAATTTTCCTGCTTGACTGTCGAAATCACTCTCCGACCACATAGAACTGGTGGTTCCTCTCTGGGTTGCTTCTCGTGAGGTTGAGTTCCACGAGACCCTTCTGTCATGGGAGGTGGTTAATCTCGCATTTTTGTGATTGCTTCTAGGAGGGCATTAAATCGACCAAACATCTAATTTTTTAACTCTTGCATTTGCTATTAAATTTGTTGTTGTATGAACTCAAGAGAGGATTCAATTGTCGTTGTGTCTCTTCGGCTAGTCTCGCCTTCTTATACTGCTTTATTTCTCGTCCGTGGCATGTTCACGCTCACCGTACCACTTTTTAGGATGTTGGATCCTAAATTATCATAGTGGGCACGCCTCAAAAGTTTTGCGTATGAAAGAAGAGAAGAAAAGGGAAAAGGGAAAAGGGAAAAGGGAAAGAATACGGGATCAATGAAAATTCAGGTAGAAGAGTGTGTAACATTTACTCATAAAATAACCCTATTAATAATCATAGGAAGCTTGAGTATACAATTATAATATTATCTCAATTATTTCAACAGTTGGTGGGTATTTTGTCTTTTCCTTAACTATGGTAGTTAATATAACCACCTCTCTAAAACAAATGACTGAATGAGTGTCACTTTCATGAATGGCTGCGTCGGTTCGACATAATATATTACTAACTGACTTTTACTTCTAGCTGTTGGTTGTCTCCTATTTGATCAATTCTGTCGGTCGAATGAGTCGATTGGTCGTTTAGGTTCGATGGGATCGTTGATCATTTTGACAAGCGAGCTAAGCTAATCGATCATTTGAACCAATCGAAAACGGTAGAGTCCTCTTGAATCGCTTTATCTATTTAGGATTCGTGCTATCGTTTTTCTGTAAACAAAAATATATTTGAATAATGACCAAACAAATTTCAAATCTTATTCAAGCTTTAATCAAACCATACTCTAACCATGACTAAATCATATAAAGTCATGTTCTAACGTTAATCAAAACTTGTTTGAGCCTTCATCAACTCATATTTAAATCATAATCCAACAATGTTAGAATGATATTAAACCACATTCAAACTATACTCAAAACTTGTTTGAGCCATATTTGAATGTTATTTGAATCTTCTTCAAATATTATTCAAATTTTATTAAATAGTATTCGAACTTTATTAAAAATTATTGAACCATATTCAAATATTGATCAAATCTTCATCAAACAACATTCAAAAGTACAAATAAGTTTTGAACCAGGTTTGATCAAGATTTGAACAAGGTTATATGATGACCGTTATTATTTTAGATTTTCAGTCTACAATGGGAACAAAATTTTCAAACCTAAATAATTTAACATAAAATAACATTAATCTGAAATAACTAACAGAAAAAAAAAGATTTAAATTTATCCCCTTTCATGGACTGTTTACAAACTTGAACGACAATCACCAGATATAGAAGGCGCTAGGAGCAACTTCTTGTTTGAAACTTCTTATGACTGCTTGCATGAGATTTTTTACTATGATTATTAAAAAGAATATACTTTATCCTAAATGAACTTTCAAGCAATATTTATCCAAGAAAACAGATAAAAATACAGGCATTTTTGGCAATGAGGCAAATAAAATCAAATTTCTCATTATAAATTTATAGCAACACACCTAGGTCTGAAACCCTCAATAACAAAAGAATGAGATATGGACAAGAGCTCGCAACTGAAGATATCAAGAGGACTGATGGTGTGTAAAAGAGAAGTTCGGACTTAAGTGCCTAATGCTAGGATTCGCTAAACCTGGGATTTAAGATAAAACAAGGGAAAAATAGGATTTGAAATTCTGTAAACTTTGAAGTTCTATTTTTTTAGGTTGGCAGGATTTAAGTTAAAAACTAAAAAACGACATTAAAAATAAATCGTGTACAAGAAACATACTAACTTTATAATCTCAGTCACTTATTTAGCTACACATTGATTCGTCTAATAGCCACGATGGATCATAAATCGTGTTCTTAACAGATTAAACAGTTCAAACCAGCTTTTTCAGTTTTATAAGCACATCTTACGAGCAAAATAATGACTTCAGACATTAAAACTCACCAATCACGGTCAAGGTTAGGAGGCACGTCAATCATCCATTCCGGCAGCATGAGCTGGCGAGCGAACCAGTGGCGAGCTGCCGAACCCTTCAATTTTGATGCCTGGACAACATCCAAATCCCTTGCCGTAGGGGAAGCGTCTCTCAGCTCAGGAGACTGCTCCAGCACAAGGTCATAATCGTCATCCAAGACGTCAGGGAGGTCAATATGAGCTGTGTCCGGCGAAGCGTGGTCGGGAAGAGAAAGGATGGATGAAGCGAGGCGGCGGGCTCGGTTCTGCGAATCGGAGCGCTGTTGGCTCTGACGCAGGAGCTCGATGTCCCGTCGCCGTTGCTGGTCTGAGATCGCCGGCCTTTTATACGGACGCCGGAGTTCGTGCGGCGCCATCCACTCGGCTTCGAGAGCCCTCTGCAGGTTTTGCATAGGTATTATCAGAAATCTAAATATTAAGGAGCAAATATCATAAATTAAAAAAAAAAGTAAATTTTTATATCATAGAAGCATAAGAAAAATATATTTCACTAATAAAAATTTATAAAAATGATAATTTTGATATCACATGGAATTTTGAGTGCAATAAATATAAAAATTTAAATTTAAAGTTATATATATATATATATATATATATTATGAAATGCATTTAAATGCCCTAAATGAAAATAATAAAAATCAAATTAAATTTTGAAGGATAATTTACATGAATTTTTTTCAAGAACAATTTACATAGAAATCGGTATATATTAATCTTTTGAATTTTTATTTTTAAATTTATTTATTTATTTATTTATGTAACAACTAATTTTTTATATCACGATAAAAGTATTATTATGTAATTATCTCTAACCTTATTTGCTTGTTCTTCTATTAGCTCTTGCAGCCAATATTGGGAATAGTGGTAATACACGTAAAATCTACTCTTATATATAATTATAATTAAATGAAATAGTTTATAAATATAATTTAGAAATAAAAGGTGAGATTGCCCAATAATTCAAAAGAAGTAAATGGATGACAATTGTGAAGAATTGAAGAATAAAAAAAAAATTCAATAGCCTTTCTAGTTGATTCCTTAAATCTAAATCCTTAGATGGTGAGCAAAAAAAGAAGAAATGATTTATGTCTCAAGACTCAAGAAGAATAAGGAGGTATTTTTCATGGGGAGTATAAGACTTATCATATGATGGTTGTAATTTGTTCATAGAATAATTGTTTAAGAAATCATGTCAATTTAAAAATAACCTCAATATGTTGTTGCTTTATAGAGATCAGACTAAGAAGTACTAAGAAGGCAAAAGCTTGATATGCATAAATCCTAAAAGATAGTATGATTTGTTCGAAGAATTTCTTAATAAAGTGGCTTATACTATAAAAAAACTTGTGTATGCTAGATATAGGGTTGAATCACATATGCACATAACACATAAGGTTAATGAAAAATTAATATCAGATTTTCATCTTTTATGAAACAAAAAGAAGAAGAAGAAAAAATGATTTCAAAAGCAATATTTCTTTTATGCATATAATGAAAAAGAAAATTTGATGAATGATAAGAGGGATTTCTTCTTATATAAGAGATTCCATAAAAATATAAGTCAATTGATTCAAGGAGGTGCGACCAACAAATCATATCTTAACCTATATAAAAAAACCACCAAGAAATCATATCATTAAAGTTAAATAAATATCATGTACAAAATACGAGGTATGCATTTCCCAAAGCAAAGAAATTTTCTAAAGTTAATGCACTTAAGCAAACCTCTAAGAGACAATATTAATTAAAAAGATGTTTTTATTTTAATTTAATGGGGTGTTGATTATAATTCAAAGATTATTGCAAAAAAAAATTGCCCATAATTCAAGATGAAACAAGTTGTAAGATAGAAGGTGAATCGCCATAAAGTTCACTTAAGAAAAAAAATCCATGTAAGAACATTCATTGAATCATGAAGAGTCAAAGAGAATAAAATGGGTTCAATGTATCATGGATGACAATAAGGACTCCATGAAAAAAATTAAAAATAACCTAATAATGTTTTCATAGATCTATTCTTCCAGGTTATTAAAGCTTCATTGTACTTTGTCGTGAACTATAGTTAATCCAACCCGATCGTGAAAAGCTTTTTCAATAATCATGATTTACATCATCTAGAGGTAGTCACATTATCTCAAATTAAGAAAACAAGTGACATTTCAAGATAGACTATTTATAAATGGTGTATCTAAAAAAATTAAAACATGCAATTCTTTATGGAAAAATGAGTGCATATATAAATAAGTGATTAAAATAGCCTAATTATATACAACCATAGTGTTGGTTATGCTTGTCTAGGAGAGTGAATGTGATGATTTTTCATATAGTGAGTGGGTGCAACTATTATCACTTGATATTGAGATGTGACAAATATTGCATGTTTATTTCATATTTAATGTCTTTTTCTTTTTTTAGGTTAGATTTTGTGTTTGATTTATTCACTAATTTTAGTTGCAATTCTTTGTTATGATAAATATTTTAATTGTATGATTTCTACGAAAATCAATGATTTTGCCTTAAGAGCCTATTTGAAAGTGTGAGCCTATATAAAACCACAAGCACAAAGAAAGAGAAAAGTCAACACGTAGTGTGACAAAATAGACACACCATGTGAAAGAATAAATAAAGGTTGGGTGCAGAAAGGTTAATCATTAATCTCAAAAAAGCCAAAATTGTTGCCAAGCGCCACATATATGTTTCTAATCCTACATATATACAACAAAAGTGATCTAGAATTAAGGTATGAAACACAATCATACAGCTCCCAGTTCTCTCCATATGGTCATAAGCATCAAGCAATGGGATACTACGCAAGTATATTTAATTATTATATTTAAATATAAGATACTACGCAAGTATATGTATCGTTATCAAGTAATATAGAACTTTTTTATCAAACCCTGAATATTGAACCTATAGGGAAAAAAATAAAATATGCAACTAAAAATCAGAAGAAATTAGATAACAACTTCTACTTAGCAAAATATTCTTACTCAAACTTTAGATGCTTTAATATGAATGAAAATTGGATTCATTTTGGTAATTTTTTATAATTGAAAATAAAGTAAACAACTAACTAAATTTAACTAGATATTTGTAAGATGAATGTCATATAAATAAAATATCTTTTTTCTTCTCTTGAATTAGAGTTTACGAGCAATAGTATTATTTACTATTGTTAGTTGTTTACTTTGTGAAACAACTAGTAATCAGTAACAAGTATAGGAATTATGTTGTGAAAGTATTCAAATTATGTTGTGTCAAATAGGAGCAATAGTGTTCTTTACCTTTACTAGATATACTATAAAGAAAATTGGTTAATTTAAAGTTTGAATAGGTAAGGAAGATACTAACTCTCACTCTAGAGTTCCCTCTTCTCGCACCACCTAAGGGCTAACATCTCGTATCAAAACCTAAAAGTATAAACCAAATTGAGGTACTAATTCTTCTAGTTATATGCCCTTCGAAGTTTATTTGTCTATTTATTTGCACTCAATCATATGAATTACATTCTCATCCATACAATCTCATTGAATTACATTCTCATCCATACAATCTCATGTGATTCTTATCATTTGTTGACTGAGATAATATCATCTCGGATCTTACAAGTTCTCACAATAGTTATTAACATTTTAATAGGTCAAACCAAGAAGTAAATTAAGTACAAGGTTTAAAATCATCACAACTTATTCCAACATTAAATATTATTAATTCACACAACTTCCATCCAATACTTAATCACTCATCATTTTAAGAAAAAAGATAAAGAAAACTACTTAGAATTCATGGAGAAATCAAGCAAATAAACAAGAAGTCTAAATTAAAACTAAATGTAGTCACAAAGATAAAAACTTATCTTAAATGCTCTCCACCAAACTCTTGAAGTTCCTTGGAATCTTTTCCTTCTCTTATAATACAAACTGCAACTCAAAATAAAAATAAAAGGTGGCCCGCATGTGGAAGAAATTGCAGGGGAGTGTGGAAGGGTTGGAAGAATTCTCTTCGAGGGGGCTTCAATCCAATCGAAGTCCTTTTATAATTTTCCAAAAAGTGCATTGGTGTCTCTCCAAAATGTGTCCACATTCAATGAATTTTCCAAGAGTTGCCTCCTTTCAAAAGATAATGGAATGTATTTTCGTGTCTATTAACTATTTCTCACATTTTCACAAAGGGTTGCTTCAAACACCTCTTAAAAAATTATTCTAAATTCATTAAATCGCCAAGTAACTACTTCTGGCACCTAAGCGCGAGGTACTGGACGCTTAGGCATGGCCTTCTTGGTTTTATTGACACGTAAGCGCTAGTTCTAAGCGCTTAGGCACCTTAGTTCTTTTGCACACCTTCTTAGTTTTTGCTCCAAATTTGATCATTTTTCACTGATTTCACAATTTTTCATTTATTTAATTGTACCTGAAAGAAAAACACACAAATAACTTCCATTAAAGTGCAATATGTCAAAAATAGGTATAAAAATGTTTACATAAAGACTATATATTTTAGGTTTATCAAAATTCCCCAAACTTAAAATGTTACTTGTTCTTAAGTGACACTCCAATTTTTCAAAACCAAAATAAGTAGATTATGTATATGAGTTTCTTTAGAATATTTTAAAATTTTGATCTAGAAATATAGTTGTCCAATTTAGAAAAAACATTAGTACATGAGAACAACTTAGAGTTTAAAAATTTTTAATGTAAAGAAGTCTAAAAATATGAGTTTCTATCTAGTTCAGAAATATTGTAAATTTTCCAAATATATACTTTAGGCATTCTATCTTCTCCACTTAAAATTTTTTATTAAGAATAATTATAATTACTATATTATATCCTTAAGTTTAAGAGTTTCTCAAGTCTTACACTTTCAAAGGATTAGATGTAGAATCAATTTTTTATTAGGCATTAATCCTCAAGCTTCTCCTCTCTTTTTCAAAAATTTTTTTTACAGGTGAGGATTATATATCAAGATAGGTGATACACCAAAAATATATTCATTTTTAGACCCCTATTTTATACTCATTTTTGGTGATATTGCACTTTAATGGAAGGTATTTTTATATTTTCTTGCAGGTTATTGATTTTTAGGGCTTAAAGCAAAAAGAAAGGAAAAAGGATGAAATTTAGAGTCAAAATTTATGTTTTTGAAGAAATGCTCAGCGCCGGCAGCGCCGACGGCGTAGAACAATTTAACGCTGGAGATATTTACTCAGCGCCGACGGCACCAAAGGCGGTGCAGACCCCGTTTCTAGAAGGTTCGATGTATTTGGACAATTTTTTTAAGAGTTTTTGGAGGCACCTCTTGGAGAACCTACCTTGGGCTCTATTTGGGGCAAAATTTCATCAGAAAATTGGCTCCTCTACGTTTATTTTTTGCTCCACATCATTCTATTCCACTACCA